ATTTAAATAATAGAGAGGTGTACAGACCTCAAATGACCATAGCAATCATCAAAACTCCTAAAAAAACTGATGAACCAAGAGCGGGATGAATTGGTTCTTTTAATTTAACTTCTTCTTTGCTAGATCAAATTTTCAGAAACAATGTAGTGATAAGAGGGGTTGTTTGATGAATCTTTCAATCATTCACAAGTACACAATGGTTTTACCTTTCAATAGGGGAAAAACCTTAGTTCTTAGCCTCAACCAATGTAATCTCCACTAGTTGTATGCAAGTAGTTACACACTCAGCTGTCTCACACTTTGCACACACCCTGATACAAGTTGAAACATTAGTTTTCACAAGTTCTACACACACACTAGCTCTACTTGGTGCTTAACAACACTCCCCCTGTCCTAAGCAATCATACTTGGATTTTTGCAAGCTCTTAAAGCTCCCCAAATACATCAAAATGTATGAATAACAACAATACTTAAGCATACACACAAGATAAGAAAGTTGTGCAGCTCAAAGTATCAATCAGCAACCATTAAGCTTCATTCTGCAGCAAAAGAGGTCTGAGGGGCAAATATGAATATTCGAGTATGCACAAACTAAGAGATTAATTAATCATCCTTATATCATCAATACAAACATGCTTAGATGATTATCATGATGAATATAGCATGCAAATACATTCACAGCATTGAAATAAGCCTAATTCTGTAGAAACTTCAAAAGCTCACAAGGTCAAAAACTTAATTACCCTCTGTACTGTGCAAAACTCAACTTCATCAGCCTTGATTCAACTATAGAAACTTGCTCAAATGATTATAATCCAACTCACTACAAGTTATAATGGAAATAAGCTCAAATCAACACACCAAACTAGCAAAATAGGCATATGCATAGGTCTGAGACATCTAATGCAACTACAGCAATAACATGGTCACATATAAGCATTCTGCATATGTAAAAAGGTAAACAAACTTGCCTCAACCTTTGGAAACCCTTGGAAAGACCTCAAGCCTAGATTGAACCTCTGAACCAGCTCTCAGCACCAGTAAACCAACAACAACCACCTTTGTTCATCTTCTTCAAATGCACACTCATAGTGTAAGGATTTCTAGATTGATTCAGACTTAAAAACTCAATGAAAATCCATTGTTCTTGGTGTCTCGAGTGTGTGTCACAATGCAACTTAAAGGGTGCTCATTAGGGTACTCACAAGGATGCTCACAATGATGCTTGTTTAAGGCCTTAGGAGGCACATTTCTATAACAACGTTTATATATGGTACATTGTCTTTTACTCCAAAGCTAAATAGGAAATTTACATGGCACCATCAGTCAATCATTGGTCAGATAATATTCTGACATTCTCTCAGGGAAAGGACCACATTGTTCCTGCCAGCTCTCAGTTTTGTCTTTTAGTGCAAGCAACTTTACAGCTTGTGTAGTGGTGTATATATCAGCCTTGGCCATTAAGAAATGTATAGCAGCCCTTAGTTTCTCACATTAGGACCACCATTAGATGAGTATGAACTCCACAACCTCATCAACACAATGGAAGGATGACGGACTTTTTACCAGACGACTGCATAACAATTCAGCATGCGACAAGAAGTTAAGTCAAATTTACTACTCATAAACAGTGAAAAGTATAAACAAAATACTATTTATGAACAGTAATAGCATATTCGATCTTATCCAAATACTATTCATGTACGGTGAAAATCACTTTTTACTATTCACTAAATAGTAAAAGTCAGTTTATGTTTTTCTATTTAAGCATCAACGCAATGAAAGGATGACGGACTTCTTACCAGACTACTACAAAACAATTCAGTACACGATATTAAGTCAAGTCATATTTACTATTCATAAAGAGTGAAAAATAAAGACAAAATACTATTCATGAACAGTAAATGCATATTCGATCTGATCCAAATACTATTCATAAACAATGAACAGCACTTTTTACTATTCACTAAATAGTAAAAGTCAATTTATGTCATTAAAATTGGTTAAAAGAGCAGCTTTTTGCTCCTCTGTGCGTAGCCTTAAAATACTATTCATGAACAGTAAAAACATATTCAATCTAATCCAAATACTATTCATGAACAGTGAAAAACACTTTTTACTATTCACTAAATAGTAAAAGTCAGTTTATGTCATTAAAATTGGTTAAAAGAGCAGCTTTTTGCTCCTTTGTGCGTAGTCTTAACTTGGGGTGAACTACACATATTTATGTTGATTGTGTTCTTTTGTTCTACATGATTATTTATGTGTTTTACTCCTCCGATCTTGTTGTTTAAGGTTTCTATCACAACAATTGGTATCAGAGCATGCAATTGTTGGCAACAAATATAAATGTGTTAATTCCACCTACACCCCCTGACCTTTGACTATATCCCACTTACACCCCCCTAGGTTTCAATATTCCACACATACCCCCTAACCTTTGACCAGACGTACCAAGTTACCCCTTGCCGTTAAGTAATAGACAGCTAGGGCTGATGTCAAGGGGAATAAATGAGTACAAGGTCAATTTTGCCCTTCACAATGTCTGAAATGACGTTTTTAACCTCACAGAGTACTGTAGAGTTACAAAACTACCCTTGTGACAAGAACAACAATATATCATACGCTTCATATAATCTGACTCTTTTACACACATATATTCACTGTACACACACACAATAACTGAGTCTCTCTCTAATCTGGCGTTGATGAGCTTCACCTAGGGTCTCTCTCTAATATTCACTATACACACGCACTCCAACTTGAGGACATTACGAGGGTCAAGTTCAACGGCGATAATGAACTTGCCGGCGTTGATGAGCTTCGAGATTTTCAGTACCAGGACCGATCTCGAGGATGACATCGGAGCACAAGACCAGGATGCACTTCAATTTCGGCCATCATCACCACCTTGTGATCCTCCACGTGAACCCGAAGCGGCGGCAAGTTCGCTAGCGACAGTGGTTAGGCGATCGAATCCTTCAATCATATTTTAAAGTTCTTCGTCGACGATAATGAACTTGCCAATGTTGATGAGCTTCTTGGTGAGATTTTCAGCACCAGGATAGATCTCGTGGATGACATCGCAGCACGAGATTAGGATGCCCTTCAATTCTACCCATCATTGTCGCCTTGCGATCCTCCTCATGAACCCCAATCCGTGACAAGTTCGCGAGCGACGATGGTTAGGCAATCAAATTCTTCGATCACGTTTTCGAGGCCTTCATCGGTGGTGACAGAGTTTAAGTAATCAAGGCTTCTGGTTTGGGTATTGGCCGTTTGGGTTTGAAGTTGGAGTTTTTTGGGGCACATATGGTGAGAAATGGCGAGATTGAACTGACAGACGATGAAACTTCCCGCTCTCGCCGTCGTCGTTAAAGATACCATCGCCAGAGAAGATGGGTTTTTCAACTTTTTATCACTCTCTCTCTTTCATGTTTTTTTCCTCGACTAGGTAAAAACAAGAAGTTTCCTCAGTGGTTTGCTCAAGAAAATTTCAGGTGTCGCGAATCCCGATCTTGGGGAATAAAGCAGTCCGTGGTACATCGTCAGTAGCCGGCAATCTTTCAGTGATATCAAGGACTCTGATGATGAAATCCCTTCCAAACTGACTTTAACAGTTAGAATGTAAAGATTCAATTAGTTTGTAATAGCACAGATGCACCATTGGAAAACGCCGGGAAGTTTCTGCTCTCGCCGTTAGTGTTGAAGATGCTGTCACCGGAGAAGATGGGTTCATCACTTGACACCCAGGTTCTGGGCTGTTTGCTAGAAAATATATCAAATATGCAAGGTTTTAGAGGGGAAAACAAATAGCTCGATTTATGGGTCCTTTCACTCATCATCCTAATGGAAGAAAAGCTAGAGGATTTCAGTGCTTTAAACTCCCTATTTTTATTTGTGATGAGCTTGAGAAGATTAGTTTTTTGTGATACAAAGAGAGTGTGTAGTCATCGTCGTAACGCTAGACAAGAACGAGGTAAGCCAGATCAAAGACCATGGCGGCGAAGTTCACAGCTAACTCGACCCAGTTCAGTCTGGCGAAGTTTCGTTGTTTGTTCACTGCACGTTGGTGGTCTCACGACAATGATGGCGGCTGTGATAAGAACCAGCGAACTGTCCTTGCAATTGAACGGCTGTGTGTCCTTGCAATTGAACGGCGGGCAGTAAGGAGAACGGCTCGGTTGTGATAAGAACCATCTTTTTATGTGGTTGCTGTTTGTGTATTCTATCGGTGGCATAGTTTATTCGTCATCGGCAACAATGAAAAAAAAAATATATATATATATATATATACACACACAGAGTGTATGTATGTATATATGTGTGAGGGTGTTAAAGTCTTTTCTTTTAAATTATAAATTTTAATATATAATTTAAGGATAAAACGGTAAAATCACACATTTTCGTTGGTAAAGTGGACGGTGGTTATTGACAGGGGTGTAGGTGAAATTATGAAACGTAAAAAGAGTGTATGTAAAATATAGGCAAACGTCAGAGGGTGTAGGTAAAATTAACCCAATATAAATTCATCTACCCGAGCACATTTCACACATTCATTTAGAATACAACATTCTCAATTTTATGTGACAATCCAAATGAAATTTGTTATACTTAAATGGCTGAGTTGACAAATCAAGATGATTTATTTTGTCGCTAGTTTTCATAATATCAAACCATCAATAATCCCATTGACATTATTGTGCACCACAACCCACATTTGATCAAACCAAAGCAACAAAAAAACTCATTGTGACTTTTCACAAAAATTTCTTCTACCTACAAGCTGCAGCTCCTTCACAATTGGCTAGGCTGCAGCTCCAAATATGCTAAGTACTGCCTCTTCACCACACAAATTTGACAATGATGGGCAAATTGTCCCTACCACTAGATTTTGCTTAAACTATGGGTCCATAAACAGTGACCACTTCAATTAAGAAACCCCTTTAAGTGATTTCATTAATACCCTAGAAGAAATTTTCCGATGTCGTTATCTGTAGAGTACTATAGCTCCCCGAAACCTACATAGCTCGTTTGGATTGCAAAAATCGTGCCAATATGCCCATTTGACACTATGACCAATCCAAACGGACCATGTAGACTTCATCAATCAGGACTACATCACCGATCAACCAAAGAATATATTAATCCCACATTACATGTGCTATATACTATACTAGGATATAGCAGTCCTGTCAGTAGACAAATCTTAGCTAGTTGTTCTTCTATATAGCTTGGGAAGTGGTCATTTGATATAGCAAGTACCAACAACCATGTCCAACACAATCACAAGTTCAGATCTATCTTTCCACACCAATTTCATTCACAGGCTTCCAAGGAAGTCTAATCTTCTAATTTTCAGTTCATGTTACCCCTCCATGATCAAGCACCCCTACCATGTATTGCCGAATCAAGAATCAAAGTCAAATCCATTCAACATCACATACAAGTTTAATGGTAGTAAACACAAAGTAACTATGTAAGTTTCATCACATCTTGTCATTTTAGTTCCCTTTTCTTCCGTTTTCCTCATCTGCTTTAGCTAGCTGCTAACTGGTTTTTGGATCGCCTTTCGTGTAACCATTGGATTAGGGCAAAGGGTCCCTCCGACGATATTCAACCGGAATCTCCAGTTCCAGCAAAACCTCCTCCTGCAGCATGGTTAGTTATTTTTTCTTACATCATGATTAGTATGTCAAAAGTGCTCTCACATGAAATTAACAATTTTTCTTTTTCTTTTTCTTCTTCTTCTTCTTCTTCTTCTTCTTTTTTTTTTTTTTTTTTTTTTTTTTTTTTGTGGTGGGCAGGAAAAAGTGGATGGTGGGAATAATGTTATCTATAATTTTACCAACATACAGGCACAAAGGGGGGCCATTATTGATACTTAAAAGTAAGTATAAAAGTTCTTAATTACTGTGAGAATCAATAGAATATATCCTAATTCTTTAGCTGTTTTTTTGTTGGGAATTGTATGTATGATGTATGTAGGTAGAGTGGACAGAGCAGTAGAAACAGTGGAAAGTTTGACAGAGATTGTGGAAGATGTAGCTGAGGGAGTAGAGAAGGTAGCTGATGAGATTGGAGACAAGCTTCCTGAGGATACAAAGCTCAGGGAAGCTGTTGATTCAATTGAAAAACTAGCCAGAGAAGCAGTCAAGGAGGCTGACCTAGCCCAAGACCTCATTAATAAGGTCTAACCCTTTATTTCCCTATTTATTTATTTATTTATCTTTGCCATTATATTTACTTTAGACGATTTCTGATTTTGGAGGGTTTTTTTTTTTTTTTTTTTTTTTTTTTTGCGTATAACTTATACACCCAATTTACCCCTACATCGCAAGTGTTGTGTTGTTGAGCGATTGCATTGCTCTCCATATTCGAGCCTTGCACTCTCCCCTATTCTATAACCATTAACCCTTTCCTTATAGCTCAATGTTCTAATTTGAATGATAGAAAAGAGGTGTATAGCGTATAACCTCGTTTTGATTTTGAAGGTTATATTGTTAGTTATTAGCTCATAGGTCAAATTATCCACACGATGGAATGACTTGGGCTTGAAAGTGGATTTTGATGTAGAAGACGAAAATTTATAGTTTTTTGGGTTTAGTTTTCTAAAATTAATTTTTAAAAACTTAAAATTTTTTTTAAAGATAAGTGTAAATGATGTCTTTTTCAAACCGAATTGAGAAATGATGAACCAAACAAATTCTTGTATAACTTGTTAATTTTCAATTTTTTTAAAATAAAAAACTACTTTCAAAAAATAACCAAACAGACCCTTAATTATTATTGGATAAAAAACGATTTACGAAACAGAATTTTTAACCAGGTTTTTCAGCAGAACCACGTGCTAAAAGATCATGCGAGTGCATCCAAATATAGGATGGACCACATAGCTAACTTTTTCTTGATGCTTACAGAATTAAAGGCCACAAAAAAAAATGAGCTGATCAATGCTAAGTCATCATCGCTCTTAGAATGAGCTTGTCAATGTGAATCATGGGAATCCCCACCATTCTCTTGGACATCTCTTGACACAGTCTCATCGATTTTAGCTGCATGATCTCTTCTAAAAAAATAAAAACATACTACGGATGGTAAGATGGGTTTACAACCCAACCCATCATCTCATCTATATTCATTCACATTTTAATAATTTTGGATAAATCATATTTAAAATGGATCAAAAATAAATTAGATAATTTTTAATCATTTGAGGGTCAAAACGGTTGAATATAGTATATTTCACCAATCACATAATAAACATACAACCACTTAATTCATTTCTCCCTTTAAAATTCTTTCACTCACGATCCTCTCACTCTCTCTAAATTTGTCTCTCGTCAATCCCCTCTCTAAGTTTTTCTCTTTAGAAGAGTTAGAAAAATTTTGCTGAGTTTGAGATTATTATTTTTTATTTGTTATTAAATAAAATTTTAAAACCTTCCAGAAAAATAAATAAATAAATAATAAAAAAATTTAAAAAAATTAATAATTAAAATAATTTTAAAAATAATTAAAATTTTAAAAAATTAAAAAAAAAATTAGTTAAAAAATAATAATTAATTGGTCAACTGGTGGTGATGACGGTTGATCATATACATTTTTTATCGGCTCACTTACAAGTCCTAAGATATATACAAAATAATAATATAATTACAAAATTGTCTCGCGTTGTCGCAAACACGTCCATGTCGAGCCCAACTAAATAATAATAATTTAAATTTGAGAACACTTCTAGCCGTATACAGACCATAGTGTCCAATGCCCCCAAGGAGAATTGTTCGTGCTTGCTAATAAGCAAGCCACCGGAGGAAGAGCATTTCAAATTAGCTTGCAAACTAATTCTGATGGGCATGCACAAACCAAAGTCAGATTAATCTGCTGTGTCACAAATACAATTTGCACAGACTACCACATGCAACTAATAGAATTGGGAAAAAAAAAAAATACAGAAAGGGAAGGAAGAAACGAATATATGATAGAAAACCTTGGTAAGGTCTTAAGGATTTAATGATAATCTTTCATGAAATTGCAGGTACAGGATGCAGAGAAAGTGTTGGAAGGGGCACTCATGGAGCCTAAAAAGGACCAAGCCAAAAACAGATCAGCCCAGGAACAAGCCCCAAATGCCTAGATGTACCTGGTTGATATTCACATCTAATTTGCAGAAGACAATTGTTGCAATGAATGAGTTTTTGAAATAATTACCTGAACTTGAGGAGAATACAGCATATTGTTTGCCAAAGTGTGTGTGATTGTGTGTGTGTGCGTGAGAGAGAGAGAGAGAGAGAGAGAGAGACACAGAGAGAGAGAGAGCATAATACTATTGCATTCCCGCTAGATACTGTACAGAAGCAAGCAACAGCAATTACTACTAATCCTATTTTACATGCCTGTAGCATGCTATACATTTGGGGAATACACATATAAATATATATATGATAAGCCGATATATATACATATTTACATCAGTGTATGTTGGTTAACATTCAAATAATGGCTAGGTGTACAGACCTCAAATGACCATAGCAATCATCAGAACTCCTAAAGAAGTCCAAGCAGGCCCAGCAAATATGACTCCCGCATCTGCATTCCACATGATTGCACCCATCCATCTTTTCAATTGTAAAGCTACATACAGGGCAGTTCTTGACCTGCTCTTTACCTTTGCGCCACTCTTTCAGTGACGAATCTGGATCTTCCTTGAACTCCTGGTATTTCTCGCACGAGAGGTATGGATGATACTCCGAGTGACAACGATTACACGTCTCCATGTAACATGCTCCACATACAAATGGCTTGCCGGGCGTACCAGGATCTGCTACTCGATAAACGGAAGGGCAATCAGGCGACGGGCAGAACCTGTAAGTGCCCCGACTTGTTGCCACAAATGACCCCAAAGAGGCCCTGAAAAGCTCCTCTAACTTCTCACCTGGCAATAGAGACCTCAAGTCACTGACCAAAATAAGAGCCCCACAACCCTCATGGGCACAGCGGATTGGGAAACTGTCTTGGTTTTTTATTGCAGAATCGCATTGCTCCTCTAAACACGACCGGCAGAATTCATGTACGCAGCCTTCAAGCCGGTAACCATCCTCCACTTCACACAGGCAAATGGGACAGGCAGCTTCATTATCAAACTTCTCAACTGAAGGGTCACTTGTTCGTGCTATCTCATGTATCATGTCTTCAACCTTCAGCTTCAATTCTTTGTTACCGCTAATGGAGATAATATGGCGGCGGGAATTAAGAGTGAATTCTCCCCCAGGTAACTCTTCTTTGAGCTTATGAAGGTCTGCCCCGAACTTCTTAACTACTAGCTTCATCATATCAGGGGGCAGACCTCGACCTCGGAGGTGTATTTCAAGTTGCTTGCTTTCATGTAACGTTAGAAGAGATTGAACCAATCTCTGCTGCACCACATTAATTTTTTCTGGAGGGCCAAAGACAGTCACATTAAGGTTATGCCTATCGAAGAGAATATAGGTTCTTGTCTCTTGTTGGAGCGAGTCCATGAGCATGATCCCATCTCTGGAGAACAGATGCTGTAGAACGGTAGGAGTGAGGCTGGTATGGCATATAATCTTCCCTTTCATGAGCTGCTCCAGAGGTTGTCTCAACTCTGCCACAGTTTTTGTAGCATTGGCAGATATCCTTACTCTCCATATACCATTCTCTATCCTTTCTAGATGCAATTCTACACCTGTGAACATGACAATCATGACTTAGGAACCAAAATATTGCAAAACAACGTGGCAGAGACCTTTCTATCATGCTACTAAAGACAACCAATTTTACTCATCTCAAACATATACACACACATATTACGTTAGTCAAGTATTTGTTTATCAAGAGATGACACGTCACAAGTTTATGGATGCTGGATGCAATTTAACAATAATGGGAAAAAAATGTAATCACCTTATAGCGAACTGAACTTCAGTTAGTAATACATTCTTAGATCATCTCAAACAAATTGCTACATAGCACAACAGCAAACAACAGATGAAAAGGTGTACAAGGTCCTCTCAAACAGCTAAGGAAAATATTTTGCAAGACAACTGGGGGAAAATGGAGGTCAACTCAAATGAGGGATGACAAAAATTAGAGATTTCCACTTAAGCTTTCTTCTTCACAAAGCATACATTAAAGCTTCTAAATTACATCCTCCACTAAAATTGCCAGTACTGCTAAAAGTTGAGATCTATGAGAACAATTGTTTTTTGGCATTCTTAACGACAGGATAACTTTTTATTTTTTACACGAATAAACAAAAAATTTATTGGACAAAGAAATGATTTCAAACACCCCTAAGAACAAAACTATTCTCGGTCTGTCCTGTTAAAAACCATTCCAACCTCTTATAAATATTGATAACTATTGCCACAATGTCAACCATTGGGCAAAGCATGGAAAATAAATAAATTCAGGGACAACAGACCTCAGTTTAACCTTGTTTACAAAGTTTACTTTCACTTTCCATGCACTTTTTGTCCCTGGGGCAGTATAACCTTTCTAATGTTAATTACGGAATTCTATCCTCCACTACCCAGAAAAATACTAGTATATTGTGTATTTCAATGAAATTTGCAGCAGAAGAGTAAGGAAATGGTTGTAGAACTTATACCCACAAGTATGATTTTACTAATGTAAGTACCTTCAGAGAGAACTAAGGACACTTGAAAATCGACGATTGACTCCCACAAAGACTAGATACTAAAGTGTGATCATATTTCCTGTTATTGAATTTGTGGTTTAGCAGGGTTATACAGATATAAACCCAACAACCCACTAAGAGAACAGGAGAAAAGATAACTATGATTATGGCTTGGTTTCTGCTTCCACAACTCCAGTAACAACACAAAAAAAAAAAAAATAGAAACACAAACTGACAGTAATGTTCAGTGTTCAAAGTGTTCTATCCTCCAATAGGTTTCAGGATAAAATTCAAGTTCACACCTGCATATAAGAAAAGCAATAACACACGACTTTGTTCCAACAGAAATTTACATGCTACGCAAGATGATGGGAGGAAAAGACTACAGAAAGACTCAATATTTGGTATTATTTCAAATTGATTGCATGGAGACTCAAATCCGCATCCAACAGAAACAAATATAAAAATCAGGAAAAAGACCCAGAGAAAAGATAATTTCATGACTTCCAAACATGTGAATAACGAGAAATAAAGAAAAACAAAATTCCAAATTCTAAGAACAAAGAAATAAAACAAGTATTTAAAGAATAGAAACAAAATTTCTAATTCACATGAAATACCCTTTCGGTGCTGAATGCTTGCAAGTAGTGACTCCAGTTGCTCCTTGATAACAAGATAAACACGTGCTGGGCAGGACACAGAGCTATAAAACATCGGCTGGCACTTTATCTTCTGCCATGAAAGACATCCAGGCAATACTTTCCCTTCAATTTGCTCCAATGCTTTTGCTGCCTCCAAATGTAGACTTCCATCAAACGTGATCAAGGCTTTCATGAACGAATCCTTCATTTCGGGGGGAAAGACCTGAACTCCGACAAAATTACCATTGCTGTTCTTTTTAGGGATGAAAGGGGAGATTAATCTGAGAATTGCTTCCTCACAAGCATCACATGAAAGAGGATTTTCTATAGCATTCCCTCGCACCAAGAATAAGTCCAAGATTTTTCTGGGTGTTGCTGTCCTTAATACATTTAAAATTTCAGCTTCCGAAAGATCTTTATCAAGACCACTTATCACCACACTGTCCGTGTATTTATTGCTAGCTTCAGGGCGAGCATATTTTCCTCCAATTAGTACATTAGAGAAATCTGTAACCATGAAATTCACATCTTGGCTTCTACACTTGACAATAGCAGACCCCTTACTGTGCCTACGAGGCCAGTACACTTTGGCTTTAACAGCAGGAAATGTGAGCATTTTATGATTACCTCCAACAGTGCTACGTGAAGGAACTACCTTCAGCAACGCACCACTGAATTCTTCTTCATTCAACTCAGCAGCTTTCATAGCATCAGATGGAGTAAGAAACGTTATCCTGCCCCACTTAGTATTGTATATACTATCTTTGCCATTGGATGTAAACTTGTGGAATGCACAAATGCTACCAGAGATTTTTCTCTCAAAAAACATCAAAAGCTCCTTATCATCAACAACATTAACATCTGAATGAAATACATCAACAGTCAAACATCTCCTTTCAAGCTCCAGATGTTTTATCTCAGCGCCAGCACCAAAGAGTGCTACAGAAGTTGAGACACCGTGTCCTCCATGATACAAACATTTCTCTATGCATTCGTTCTGCAACCATTTTCTTTCGTACTCCAATGCTTCATTAACGAGGCAATAAACCTTATCCATGCCTAATGAAGATGCATATAATAGAACTTCATTCTGATCAACATTCACTTTAATACCAATCCGTTCATCCATACATTCTTTTCTAATACGTGAAACAAGATGAAGCAAATTATTGTTGGACTTCCCACAGAATTTTCTAAGTAATGTATTGCCAAAGCCGCTCAAAATTTTCACTTGCAGCTTCCGACTCTCCATCTTAGAGACATCAAACAGTGGAGGAGGACAAAGAGTAGACAAAGATTCATAGTCAAAAGCAGTTACACAGACCAAATATTGATTAGATATTGACAGAATCTCACCAAACACAACCCAACTTGGTCTTCGACCATAAACTAGCAATGAACATGAAGGATGTAGCTGAACATGTGTTCCTGTTAATGCCACTTCATAACCAAGTTGATCATATCCAGCGTACATAGCTACATTTTCTGCAAGGGAAGAGAGTATGACATTTTTCAAAATTCTATCTTGCTCAGTAGGCATGTCTGGATTCCAAAGCCATTTACTGGGAATAACAAAGTTAAATTCATTTTGGAGACAAGTAGCCAATTCTTGGACTGTGTCCTGGCATCTCCGCATGGATTTGGCATTGATGCTATTATCCCAACACCACTTATTTCTCTTATCTCGAGGCAAACTATCCCATTCCTTGTATACAGAGAGCAGAGTGAAGAGGTCACCGTTGTGATGGCAGAACCGCACCTTAAGGCTATCAGATTTTAGCTTATCTTCTTCATTTCCAACTCTGCAAAATATGCTATTGACATTCGCCATAACAGAAGCAAGAACAAGGCCTTCCCTACCCAATTCATGACGGAAGCAATTGAGAATTATTTTTCCAAGCCTCGGTTCAATTCCCAATCTAACCAAAGATTGTCCTTCCTCAGTTAATTCCAGGACATCATTTTTCAATGTAACAGCTCCTAACTGTATAAGATTTCTGACAGCCATCTCAATAGCTTTTGCACAAGGTGCATCAACAAAATCAAAATTCTGAACATCCTTGATGCCCAAAGCAAGAATCCTCAGAACTGCAACACCAAGATGAACCCTACGAATCTCAGGATCCTGATGAGGAGACATCAGCTGAAAATCATTTTCTGAATAGAGTCTATAACACCTTCCAGGTTCAGTTCTCCCAGCACGACCAGCTCGCTGATTAGCAGAACTCTGACTGATCCAACAAACTTTGAGGACGCTCATGCCTGTGCAGGGTTCAAACCTACTCTCTTTTACCAAGCCAGAATCGACCACATACTTCACCCCTGGAATCGTCAATGATGTCTCAGCAAGATTTGTGGCAAATATGACTTTTCTCATTCCTTGGTAGTTGAGAAAGATGCGATGTTGATCTTCATAAGAAAGTTTTCCATGTAAAGGTAGTGCAACTGCAGAGGGAGCTTGGAACTTTTCACAAGCCCATTCAACTTCTATCTGAGAAGTCAAAAAGGCAAGAATAGTCCCATCTTTCTCTGATCTATGAATATCAGTAGCCATCCTCACAACATCATAAGCATATGAAGCAACAATATCAGAACCAGAAGTGCTTTCAGATGCACAAGGAACATATTTGACATCAACTGGAAATCTTCTTCCCACCACATGAAAGGTTCCACAACCAAAAAAGTAATCCGCAATCTGGTTTGCATCAGCTGTTGCAGACATTATGATAAGCCTCAGATCAAGCCTCTGCTGAAGTAAATTTTTAATCGATGCTAAATTGAGATCAGTGTTTAAGCTTCTTTCATGTGCCTCGTCAACGATGATGCATGAAATCCCAGATAAATTCTTATCTTTCATGTAGTGCTGCAGTAAACAGTGATCTGTCATGTATATTACCTTAGAATCAAACTGCTGAGCAGATGAATATGTAGGATGGCACATGATTGAATTATCATGATAACAACCAGAACATTCCTCTTGAACCCTATGAGCCAATGAGATGGCTGCAAGCTTCCGAGGCTGAGTGCATACAATGGACTTATTCGCAGCTACACCTGAATCAGCGAGAAACTGAACCAACTGTGTACTCTTTCCTGATCCAGTCTCTCCAATCAATACCATTATCTGTGCAAATTCCAAAGGAAAGAGAGACCAAAAAAGACTTGAGAAGTGTTAAAAAATTGATTAGAGAAACAAAGTATGAAGAACGCAAGGCAAGAATATACGTGGTTCAGCCACTACGACACACAAAACCCTAAGGGCTACATCACTTTTATTATAAATTCTCTTTTTCATACTCAATAAAATGGAGGCGGCTCCTCTATATGGGAGAAGAAATGATGATAATGGAAAGAGATAGAAAATAGGAAACAATATCAATACTAGAGGATTTTTCTCCACTAATATCTCTAGTAACGGCAAATCTTCAATAATAGGAAAGAACATCAATACTGGAGGATTTTCCTCCGCTGATTCCTCCAATAAATCTTCAACAAGAAGAAAACAACTCATGTATACATTGACACTGAAATGTTCAGAACATAACTGAAATCAATAAGGTTAAAAATAAAAATAAAAAATGATGAGGTAAGAAGAACATTATGACATCACTCTAACCCAAAGAAACATCCATACTAATATTTTGTCTTCCTTTACGTCTTCACTTCTATTTTCAACCATGAATATCACTTGGCATTTTAAAATTCATGCAGGTAAAAAAGCAAGAACTAACATTAATTATCAATCATAGAAATATCAGAGGAGCTAACTAACATTAATTATCAATCATAGAAATATCAAAGGAACTGTTCTTTCGCATGAAAAATAAATAATAAAAAACCTATTTGCAGGGAGAGTACAAAAAGGAAAGAAAGGAAAAAAAAAAAAGGCAGCAGCAGCAAAACAAAACGAAGGAAAAGTATGAACACGAGAAAATATTGCAACAAAAATTGTAATCAAGATGGAAATCACGATCAATCAAATATTCTGGTGAAATAACATGACATTTAACTAGTGTTTAAAGAGTCCACATCCAGGTTGGCTGTACGCTATACCCATGAAAATGAGATCCTCAGTTGATCACATAAAATCTCCAACTTCTCTCATATAATACCAAGGACAATACTTTGGTCCTCACCAGTGAGGATGTACACCATCCTGACTGTTGATATGGACCAATAATATATAAACACGTCCTTTTTAATTACCAAATCAGAGATGGTAGGGTATATACTCACCTACCAAATCAGAGAGGGTGTATTAATTGTCATCTCTAATTTGAAAATTAAAAGAGAACTTGTCTATTTATTTTTGATCCACATCACTGTTCAGGATCGCGTACATGCTCACCTAAAGTATTGTCCTAATACCAAAGCTAACCTCGCACCCACCCCAATCTCCTCACCTTCCATAAATAGATCTTTGCAATCGTGCCCCGTAGACCTTAGCAAACTCCAAATTATGGATACTGCCTGAATATCACATGCAAACTCCAAACTATGGAGACTGGCTGAATATAAAACTCTAAGACCAGTTCCTGCCACTTGGAATGGTAAATTACAGCACAACATCACTATTATGTTTCTAAAAAATACTCAAACGCTGTTATCCCAGGTTTGCTAAAGGCTAAAGACCATCCATTAAACTTGAGCTTAATCCAACCCATCTGAGGAGTCTTCTGTTATCAGAGTATAATCAGCGAGGAAGAACAAACCACCATCTCATGCCACTAGAGATGCAATAGTGGCTGCTTCTCCATACAATCAAATGCAAAGAGTATTAACATTGATAGATGGTTTGTCTCAGATAGTGAGATGGTTCATCTCACAACTCCTAATACAGATACATTCCATAAGATGGAAAGAAACTTAAAAAGCCATTCCCCAATACTGGTCTCACCTATGCAGAGTGGTGGAGAGAAAGATTGAAGACAGACCATCCTTCGTCATTATTTTGCACAAAGTGACTACTCATGCCCAAATCCTCACCATTACGATTATCAGCCTGAGCTTTTACCATTGCACCAAGCAATGACCCTTAGGAGGAAAAGACTAGATATATGCCTACCTGTGTCATTATTTTTCATAAAGTGACAGCTCTCAACCTTGTCTAGATATCCTTACGTTTCACTTATCAGCTCAAACTTTTTTATCATTGCACTAGTCAATGGAAAGAAACTAGCACATACAATTATTGCAATTTTCAAACTAAATAAATTTATCCAAAAATTAAAGCCTAATCTTCAAATTTGACATAGTAACTTGAAAATCTAGTTTGGCAACTTGTTTTATAAGACACCAGAACAACCCAAGAGGATGACATTTTTACATTTACAATCAAATAATGTTTTAATATTTCAACAGATACACCGCCACATCCATTCCATATCCCACAAAATTTACATGGACCAAAAGGTTGTTAGACATCAGTTTCAGCACAGACCAGTATTTTGAACCATGACTCACAAGTTCAGCTGTAGTATTGTTGAGCAACACTACACCCACTATGCTGCATATGTTGCTAAATGTCCTTATACCTTATCACAGTAATACCAAATCATAAGGTGCAGACTTGACTGTCTTCCTTCTTTTCACCTCATAAAGCCAATGCCATTAGGATTATCATTCAAGGAAATTGTAGTTTGGTCACAGTGACTGGAAGGAAGAAAATATGCTCTCCTCTCTATCAGGTATGAGCAACAGGAACCTGTTTTATAGTCTTCCAATCACCATCATTTCTTCTCTAAAGCTTTTAAGCTCAAATATCTCAGTTAGAGTCACAGGGAAGCTTCCCTAGGGAATAAATTCAAGTAACATACTACATTTGATTGATTTAAGTTTGGGTTAATTTCACTGACACCCCCTCAGGTCTGGCCAAATATCACATTGAAATATCTTTCGAAAATAACTATCACTCGCATTACAAACGTTTGTTCCGTTTTTCACTTGCACCCCAAAAGTTAGTTTTCAAGTGTGTCAAATACCTTTTTGTATGTAAAATGACATTACTACCCTTTTAACTATCTGTTAACTTAAAAAAGTGTTGAAATGACTTGAATCCCTTTGACCTTTATTATATAAATTTATAATTATTCTTTATATATATATATATATATATATATATATATATTTCTCATTATGTACACCAACTAAATTATAGTTATTTTTTAAAACAACTAAATTATAGTTATTTTTTAAAATTATTCTTTATATATATATATATATATATTTCTCGTACACCACCAATTTTCTCCACCTTTTCAATATCTTTTTCTTTTATTTTCTAATTTCCGTTTCTTCTTCATTACTGCCGGCAAAGAATTTTTCTTTTTCCTTTTTTATTTTATTTTCTTTTCTTCTTATTCATTATTGTCGGCAAAGAAGAGAGACAGAGAGGCCATTAATGGTTCCTCATCACCGGCGACCAAGTGGTCGCCTCTTCTCTCTCGATGCCGGAATGACGATAACAGCGACCACCATGGTCGCTGTTTCTTCTCATACACCAGCGACCTGGTTATCTTCTACTTGGTGCTACTCGCTGCCCTTTCTCCTTGTACCAGGTCACCGGCGGCGACCTGGTTTGATCTCCATGGACTGCGACCCGGTGGTCGCCGACCTTTATCAGCAGCATGGGTCGCCATTATGGCGACCCACAGTAAGATCATTGCGTTGCAGTCAATACGACCTTTTTGGGTGAACCCAAAGTCATCAATGTCAACCAATGTTGTGCTTCACTAATTGCATATATAATAATAATATGAGTTCTATTATCACAGTTAATGCTCCATTCGTATAGATAGCACAGCTTGTTTGCAATCAATTCCATTCAATTCCATTTCCACTTCTTCATGAATATCTCAACTTGGGGGTTTTTGACTTAGATACTAAACTCAGGCGAGTTTATGATAATTAGGGTTTGTAGCGAGAGAAAGGGGGAGTGTGAAATTTGCAGTGAGGGTAAGGGCATTTTAGTCCTTTCAGTTTTTTTTTGATATTTTATAATAAAAGTCATTAAAAAATAGGGGTAACTTTGTCTTTTCAAACATTTTTAACGGTGTCATTGACAGAAAAGTCATTTGGGGTCTGAGTGATAGTAATTTTCGAAAGACGTTTCTATGTGATATTTAGCCAAACCTGAGGGGGTGTCAGTGAAATTAACCCTTTAAGTTTTCATATATTAACTAGAGCGAGTACAAGGTCTAGGATTTAGGGACTCAAATGAGCCAGAAGGAGTATGAGGCTTAAGACATTTAGGAATGATAATAAATTAAATTTTTATCATCAAGTGGTTGTAAATGGAACCCCAACGATGTGAAGAGGATTATGCTATACAAATTTTAAAGGCCATCATGGATCCAACATGAACATAGATAACCCAATCCAACCAGCCCTTATTGGAACAATTTGGAAGGATTTTAATCAGGGCAAGTGTTGTGGTTTGGATTAGAACATTGAAACTCAACTAGGGTTTGAGCTGGAAGTGCATTCGGGGGGGCCCACCTGGCCCCACCCTACCCTGGATTTATATCTATATTAATTGAATGCCCTTAATTTTATCAAAATATTTCTAGACTACCTTTTTAAGGAATTTTAAGATTCATTGACTACTCTTGTCTCATCTCATGCACGCTCTCAAAAGTGATAGCTAGCGGTAAAAAATCTACCATCATCTTCCACAACTGAAATTCATCACTTTAGCTTACCAAGATTAGTTTTTTGTTCTTACTTTAGCATGCAAATCCAGTTTGCAAATTTTGGGACAGTATAATTGATCTCATGTCTTTGATAACTTCATTAACAATGTGAGTGATTAACCTTTTTGAATCCCACCCCTTTTATTATACAAATTCTAGTTTTTTCATGCATGTGTTCTAACATGAGAGCATTTCAATCTTTAACCCAACTCGTTAATAAAAATATGATGTGATTTTGAGTATTTGAAATTTTGATCTTTGTTGCATGGAATTTCTTCAATCTTTGTTATGACAAGGTGGGTCGGATGAAGTCAGAGTCAACGGTTTCACAAGGGGTATGATGGGATGTACAAAAGAAACCTGTCTGGGGTGCAGGCAGGGATAGGATGAAAGCACTTTCTAACTGTGTGTTGTGAAGAATAGGTGTTCCATCTTATACTTCGTTTGTTGCTATCCCTAAGGAACAAAAGGCGCTCTTAAGTAATTGTGAGTAGGAATGGCAACGGGGGCGGGCTTGGGCGGGTGTACCCTCCCCCGCCCCCGCAACAGTTTAAAAACCCCACCCCCGTCCTCACCCAAAACCGCAAAAACGAGGGGACTTTCCACCCCATCCCCGCCCCCGTTTAACATCTTTACCCCCGCGGGTACCCACCCTACCCTGTTTAAGACCAGAAATTCTCCTCCATTTACTTTTTTTTTTTTTATCAACTAAAATTATATAATTATTGAAAAGATTCATAAAAAATAAAAATAAAAATAAAAAATGGACAATAAAAAGTTTAATATAAAATTCAACATTAAAAACATTCTATAATAGCAATTTAATAAAAGTATTAACATACCAAAACCAGACAAGCCAAATTGCATTGTTCCCTAATTACCTATCTAATGAAATAGGGGTACTTAAGTAATTTACCTATCTAAACGGTACGGGGCGGGGCAACCTCCCCCCGCCCCCACACCGAACTCGTGCGGGTTTCCATTACATCAAACCGTCACCGCCCAAATAAGCTAAACAGACCCCCACAATCGCCAAAAATGGGGCGAGGCGGGGCAAATTGCCATCCCTAGTTGTGAGCCAATTGAAATCTAGAAAGGACATTTGGAGAGGAAAACCTCTCTTACAGAGGGATTTTCTAGGATGTTTGCCTCACCATTAATAAGCTAACTTGGGTGAGTGATCATGTATAGCGCACAGTGCACACCTATAGAAGCAAATGTAAAAGGGGTTTGTTCAGGTTTCAGAATTCATAGGATAAATGCTTCACTGGAATTGACTTTCAAGATTTTTACAAGTAGTTCAATGCTTCTACCAAAAAGTGATATCTGGTAAATATGACTCTCAACAACCCAAAAACAAATGAAGATCTCCACGCGTGGGAACAAAGGTTACACCTCAGGATAACCACTGTCTGCAAATAATTGTTAAGGTTAGCTTGGTAACCAGTCCAAAAATTCTTAACTTGTAAGTCACACAAGCGGTGCCTTCCTTCTTTGAGCACTCATCAAAAATGCTACTTCAGTTAAGCTTCTTAAGCAAAGTCATAACACTTGCAATCTCACCCCGACACAAGCCCTAACTTCTTATGCATTTCTACACCAAATATTATTCGATAAACCTCCTCACACTAAGAATCACCTTCCACCAAAAGGACTTTGAAATCAAGACCTTCAACTAACCTCAAACCATGGAAGCTAAAGATACAGCACTAACAGCAACGCCTGCCAAATGGCATGGAAAATTTTAAAAAATGAGATCACCATTATGTTTCTTAAAAATCCCCTAAATGCCACTATCCTGGGTTTCATATTATGACCATAATATATCCCATGACAAGAGTCTTGATTATAGTCAGATGTGGAGAGAACCACCATTCAATCTCTATCAATAAAAGGGAGGGAAAATACGCTATAGATAACATAATCTAGCATTATGATTAGATAAGCTACAACCTAATATATTTCCTCACCAATTCTTAGAAACTTCTTCGAATCAATATGTTAATTACTCAATTTCTAGATAGAAAGAACAATAAAGTGGCAAACAACATTTAAGACAGAACCATAAAACTAAAGAAGAAATCACCTGTTGGCTATAGATTTGTCTCAGGATTTCCTGCCGTCTTGCATAAATGGGCAAGCCATCCTCGAGGCGTTGACACTCTCTCCTTATCAGGGAGTGAATCGTCTCCCATTCAAATTGTTTGCCAAAGCAAAACACCTCAAACCCCTCATCATTGTCATCCCCGGACGACTTCCCATCAAGATGAGCAAGTATACACTTCATAGCAGACTTGAACTCCACAATCTTCTTCTCAATCAAATCAATATCGGAAACAAGCCCTTCCTTTCTCATCTTAAGCTCATCGTAAACTCTAACCCGATTCAGCTTCTTAAGCGAAGTTTTCACACTCGCAATCTCCTCCGAAACATGAACCATCTTCCTCTTCCACTTCCGCACCAAATTACCTTCCATCAATCCCCTTACATGCTCCGAAAACAGGGTTTTGAGTCGATTTTTGAGCTCGCCGATATCTGAAGGCACATATACATGAGACACGAGACAAGGAGTGAGTGAATGAGTACCGTTTAGACGACTTCTCCACAGATACACCATGGTTTCGAGTGTGTCCGACCATTCCAGGAAAGACAATCGAGCCGCGACCGAACCTGAGTTGTAAACGGTGAAATTCTCGGCCTTGAAATTACATTTGGCGATCAAACACTCGACATCGGCTACGTTGAACTTCTGATTTTCTGAACGGAGATCGACAGTGAAGTTCGAGAGGTTGAAGAAACCGGCCGGTGGTCCCGGAGGACGGTCTATCCCGAAATTCGCCTGGTACGGTGGTCGGACTGAGCGGAAATTGGCCGGGACATCGCCTCTCCGGCGAGTCATCGGCGTACTGCCGCCGCGCACGGTGTTAATCGGAGAGGGGGCTGTGTTGATCATAGGGAAAAGAAAGGGGGAAATAGAAACCCTAGAAGACAATGGAAGACCGGAGAGTGAGAGGAGAGAGAAAAAAATGTGAGAACGTAGAAAAGGCGGCAACGTCTAGACTCGAGAGCGAGGGAGTGTGTGTTTGTGTGTGTAAACACAGCTGGAAATTGACAAAAAATAGGGAAAACAGAGGAAGTGGACGAGACCGACGCTTTCTGTCTATCTAGCGGAATCGAATTGTTTTTCTTTTGGCCTAAGCTAACTTCAGGAAACTTTTAAATTATTAAAATAAATAAATAATAAAAATAAATAAATAAAAGTAATTGAGTTTTGGTCTTAAACAGGTGAATAATAAACACGTGAGAATCGTGTGAATAGTTTGGTACATATAGATCTAGATTGTTCTATTTAGGCCAATAAAAAAAATAAAAAATAAAATTACACACTCTAGTTGACAAAATTCAAACAAAAATAAATAATAATAATAATTAAACAATAAAAATAATACCCTACATCACAACGTAAGTTGATTATTTCCTCCTTATATGAAAAAAATAAATTAAAAAAATTTAAGCAAAATCCTCCTTATAGTATTTTGAGTTTGACACCACGCTGAATTTATTGAGTCTAGTATGACCTACATTTTTTAAAGTCTCATTGTATTACGTTATAATGAATTTAGTTTGGAAAAGAGTCTTGATAACTATGACTAACTAGTAACGTATGAGTTTTAACTGACGAAAGAGTGTTCACAACTATGACTAACGAGTCACGTGAGAGTTTTAATTGGTGAAAGAGTGTTCACAGTGACTAATTGAGTCACGTGTGAGTTTTAGCTAACTAAACAGTGTTGACATTTGTGATTAACAAAAATGGTGTGAATTGTTGGTATAGGTCTGGATAGTTCTATGTAGGTCACTAAAAAATTAAAAATTAAAAATTAAATTACGGTTGGACAAAATTCAAGCGGTTTTACAATCCAAAAGCTATAATATCTGGCTTCAAGCCCTTTTTCTTTTTCTTTTTTTTAAAAAAAATCAGTCTTTCCTCCTAGACGTACTTTTTTTTTAAAACCATCACCAATTTTTAATGGAGAAACAATTCCCTCGTAACAACCTATAACAACCATATGTGTCTATTCATCCAACAACTACCGATGATCAAAAACTTTGTTTATGGACTCAAAAATATTAATTTATGTTTAGGAACATAGAATCTATTATTTGGATTTAAAATTTAAAAAAATAATAATAATTAAAACGTCCAAAAATATATTCATCGAATCCAAACACATTGATCAAGTAACTATGCTCTTTCTCCACAAATCCATAACCCCCCAGTTCACTCTCTTTTTCTTTTCTTTTTTTAAAGGTACTTTTCGGTCTTTTTACCAAAGAGGGAACAGAACTGAAGAGAGAGAAAGTGAGTACGAGACCGACTTTTTCTTGTGTTGCAAATTACAATGATATGGCAGATGAAATTATTCCTAAATAATGATATGGCAGATGAAATTATTCCTAAATAATATTATTTTATTATGACCAGCTATGTACGAAAATAAAAAAGATGGATCAATTATATAATATAAAAAGACCAAGAGAGAGACTAATATATTTAGTAGACCTAGATTGGACTAAAATAAAGCTGGTTCTATCAACTTTGTCAAATGATAGAAAATATATAAAAGGAGCCTGTCGAATCTTCTTTTGGATTGATGTTATCCTCAAAATGCTTTGTGAGCGGTAATTATGGATCTTGTTCAATAAAATCCTTCTTTGCCAAAATAATAATAATATAAAAAATTATTCTTCTAGAATATTTCTTTTTTGAGAATTTCATAATTCAAGGAAATATGAGATTAATTGGCACTAGTACATTTTAAAATATGCTATGAAATTAAGGGCCCGTGTTTTGATTTTGGTAATCAAAACACCAATTTAGTATTTTCATAAGTTTTTGCAGTGTAAAATTTTTCACTATGAAATTAAGGGCTCGCGTTTGGATTTTGGTTATTGAAACACCAATTTAGTATTTTTATAAGTTTTTGTATTGTAAATTTTTTCTTGAAAAATTTTTAAATGGCATTTTGAAACTAACTATTTATATCTTTAAATTACAAACACTTTTTTTTGCCAAATATATTTTTATTACTTTCAAAAATCTTGCAACAAATAGATGTTACTAAACATACTTTTATACTTTCAATTACTATTCTAAACACTTATTCTTATTTGAAGTTAAAACAAAAATTATCAAAAACAAATATATATATATATATATATATATATATATATATAACAAACAAATCCTAAATAAATCGAATAATAAAATATCCTCGTAGCTTACTACCATCGTCAATCTATTTAATTGTCAACACCAACCTACTAATAATAAAATGAGTAATGATAGAAATATGCCACGTTAGAGTTAAAAAAAAAGAAAAAAAAAAAGAAAAAGGGGGGTCTTTTTTTACAAAGTATAATTGAAAGGGGAATAAAAAACGGAGCGCATTCTCACTCTCACGTTTTGTGCGCGCTCTGCCCCAAATTCTCACTATTTAGGACTTAATTTTGTCTCGTTCTCGAATTAGTTCTTACTCCCGTCCTGCTTTATGTGACTTAAGTTTTGATTATTTAAATGATTTAATATTTTCAAACTGTATAGTTCTAGTAATTTTTCCTTTGTAAATTTAGATTTATGGAACACTGGAACAAGTTTTTAGTTTTTTTTTTTTTTTTTTTTTTATTTCTTTAGTTAGGCATTTGTATTTGACTTTAAAAAATAATTATCTAAATTTGTATCTTTAAATTTATTATTCTATAGATGTGAGACTAATTAAAATTTTCTATTCGGGTTTTGTAATAATTATCTAAACTTGTATCTTATAATTTACTTTTTTGTGAATTAACAACTATTTAGTAATTTGGTTGGATTAGAACTTTTTTTTATTTTTAGTATTTATTGTTTGATTGAGGATTATAAATCTAGATAATATAATGTTTGGCTTTAGTAAATATGACATTAAATAACTTACAAATATAACCTGTTTAATAAACAAATTGTATTTGTTGAAATATTTGTTTTGTATTATACATGTAAGAACATGCGAATAACACGTAAACACAAATCCTTGACTTACAACCCATTAATGGACCCTTATAAGAACACTTTTTCTTTTTTCATTTTTACCTTGTACAATTTCTTCCCTACGCACTGGTAGTTATTTTTATTTTTTATTTTTTATTTTTTATTTTTTATTTTTTTGGAATTTATTCACCAGTAGTTCTTACTTCTTACTTAAGCATAGAGCATCCAAGTAATGGAAACAAATATTGTTGGCTGAGACCCACCATTTTTATATCATAAGACATGTTTTTGACCGTTAGTTTATTGCCATATTTTTTCTGTTTATTTCTCTGTTGCAGACTTGCAGATAGTGGCTTTGAACCGCTTCATGATTCTCAAGTTAACTGCAATTAATTTGGCTAAACTCCAGTATAATCGATCTGCATTTGTCAGAACCATTACTTTGTTTGAAAATTATCCTTCAGATTAACTGCAGAGATTACACGGTAAAAATTTTCTTTATACTATTTTGAATCTATTATAACCATGGTTCGCGGTGTCACCAATATGCGACCTATGCCAACCATTATCGCCGGATTCATATGCCATGAGAATAACCTATGTTTGTCGGAACCATTATTTTGTTTGGGAATTACTCATAAAAGATTAAATGGAGAGATTACGTGGCTAATGAGAGTTAACGTCTCATTGGACTGCGTTACAGTTAGTGTAGTTGGGGAAAGAGTTTTGAGAATTGTGACTAATGAGTCACGTGTGAGTTGAGCTGGCGAAAGAGTCTCGACAACCATGACTAACGAGTCACATGCGAGTTTAGCTAGGGAAAGAGTATTAACAAGTGTGACTAACAAGTCTTAGGAGAATAGTGTGAATTGTTGGTACAAGTCTGGATAGTTGTATTTAGGTTGATAAAAATAATAATAAAAAAATAAAATTATATTTGACAAAATTCAAACGTTTCTGTCAAGAACTTAATTTTAAAAGCTAGTAAATAATAATAAAAAAATAAAATTATATTTGACAAAATTCAAACGTTTCTGTCAAGAACTTAATTTTAAAAGCTATTATTTCTAGCTTCAAGTAAAAGGGTTTTTTTTTTTTTTTTTTTTAATCTTTATTGCTTAATGTATTTGTTTATGGTCACCAAATACATCTAAGCTCAGTTTTTTAAATCCATTCCAATATTTAGTGGTACAGGAGCCATCCCAAGTTGACACTAATTCCTCTTAACAATCTATGACCTTGCGAACTCGTAATACAATCATCATGTTCATTCATTCAAGAACCATGAGTGATAAACTTTGTTTAAGAACTTAATCGTTATTCAAAAATAATCTGCTTTAATTTAAATTTAAGAGCACAAAATTAATTGTTTAAATTTAAAATTAAAAATAATAATAATAATTAAAACTTTAAACTAAATTTTGTTTCCATTTCAAATTCAAAGATATATTCATTGAATCCAAACACAGGTTCAATTATCACATACATTATCTCTCTCCACAAATCCATAACCCAGATCTCACTTCTTTTTGTTTTTTTGCAAGGTACTTTTTGTTGTTTTCGGTCTTTGCTGAAGAGAGAAAAAGTGAGTAGGATAATCACTTTTTCTACTTTCTACGAGAATCCAATTGCTTTTCTTTTGTCATTTTCGAGATTATTCCTCACAATTAATATTATTTTATTATGACCAACTATGTACGAAAACAAAAGATAGATCAATTATAATATAAAAAGACCAATAGAGAGACTGATATATTTAATATTAGAATTAGATTGTACTAAAATCAGCTGGTACTATGTTGCATGATAGAATAATAAAAAGGTTCTTTTTCAATAAAAATTTTTCCTGGTTCAAAAACAATAATAAATAAATAACATACACTATATTAAATTTTTATTACGATTTTTCTTTCTTATTACAAATTTTGTTAAAAATTAGAGTTTTTTCTAATGTCTCCTTGAACTAAAGTGTGTCATGCACTTCTTGCATTGCGCATGAAGAGGCTGGAAAGGGTGCAAAATCCCTTCCTGTGAATTTTTGTGACCGATTTTATCCGGTGTCAAATAAGTGACTATGAAAACATCATTATCAATTAAAGTTATCAAATTAAGAGACAATTAAAGTTCTCATATTAAGAGATATAATAATATATATCACCTAAGTGACT